CTCTCAAACTATTTGCCCAGGCTGGCCTCAAACCTTGATCCTCCTGATCTCAGCCTCCCAAGTAGCAAGGATTACAGGAATGAGCCACCAGCAATGCTTTAGTGTTGTTTCTTTTTCTCTTGCTTCCTTAAGGATCTTCTCTTTGTCTTTCACCTTGAAGAGCTTGATTGTAATGTTGTGGGGTAGAACTGGTTGAGTTCCATCTGACTGATATGAACTTTGGGTATTTGTGTTTTTCTCTGGGTTTGGAAAGTTTTTGGCTATTATGTCTTTGAATGAGCTTTCTACCCCTTAGTTATTGTCGTTTCTCTTCAACCTCACTGACCAGAATATTTGCTTATTATTAACTTTGGTTTTTTGAGACAGGATCTGTGTACCTTAGATTGGCCTGGAACTCACTATGTAGACCAGACTAGCTCCAACAAGCAACCCTCCTACCTCAGACTCCTGAGTGCTGGGATTATAGGTGTGAACCCCACAAACAGTTTGTTCTTTTATACTGTTGTATTTTTGTAAAGTTTATTATTTTTTCTCCCCTGTGGATTTTTGTTTTTTACAGTGCTGGGGATTAAACTCAGGGCCTTGTATGTTAGACAAGCTCTGTATCACTGAGCTATATCCTGGTCCTGATTTTTTTTTAAATTTTTCTAAGTTTCTCTGTTGAGTACTAAATCATTTCTCATGTATTCTTGAAGCTGAGTTTCTTTAAAACAGCTGATTTAAATCCTCCCATACTAATTATGATCTAGTCAGTTATTGGCACCTTATTTTGACTTTTAGGTAAGGTCATGGTTTCTTGAAAGTTCTTGATGCTTGTTGGTGTATGATGTTATCTGAGAATTGAAGGATTAGATGTTTATTCCAGTCTTCCTAATCTGGCTTTGTTTGAGCACACCTTTCCAGTAATTATAACCGGCTGCTATTTTCTGAGCCTGTAGGCACTTGTACTATTTCAGCACTGGGCTGTGTTCAAGTCCTGGATTGTTATGTCTGGTATTAGTGTGCTGTCACTGTTTCAACACTAGAGGGTGATCCAAGCCCAGATTTGTTCCCAAACTAGAATGAACCAGGAGAATACCTAGAAAGAGTAGTCTGTCCTTGTAAGCCTCTGCCTAGCAAACTGAATGGTGCATATTCATCTGGTACCTGAGATATACCCATTTTAGGTGGGAAGGAAAAATGTTTAATGAATCCCATACACATGCAATTTCATTTATTTGCTGTTTTAAATCTCCCAATTCAAAATGTTTTACTTTTTTGTTTGTTATCATACTGGATTTGTTTGTTCTAATGGAGAAAGATGTTCTTTCCCATCATGACATATTCATTAGTAAACTCTTCCTAATAGGTGGAACTCAGACTAGGGAATAATGAAAAACAAAGCATTCTACCACTGAGCTATAGCCCCAGCAAACAGCTTCTTCATACAAAGAACCTAGGCCCACACCAATGTCATTCAGAGCTGCAGTCATGAGGTCTCACTCTAACCACTACCTAAGGACTGGTTCACATGCTCCAGGAAACCAACTCTGTTATCCCTACCTATGCTGCATTATAGGATCCTGCTATGTGTTGCCGCAACACCTGTGCTACCACTCCCAAAGACTATTTCGTGACATGACTCCTGGTGGCAAAATAGGAGGAAGAGTTTGTGATATGAGTGAAATGAGATACAGAAAAGGGAAAGAGCCCCAAAGTAGAAACAAATGATGCCAAAAGCAGAAGTAGGAGCAGTGCCATTCATTTAGCAACTCAAACGTGCCCAACTCTGGTCTAGATGCTTTGCAAGTATCAAGCAACTTCATTCTTGACCACAACACTAAGAGTTAACTATTAGTCGAGGAAACGAAGGCACAGACGGTCAAGCAAGTTGCCCTCTCTTACAGCTAGCCAGTCTGGTTAGCTGTAAGTAAGTCATTGCATTCTGTTGCTGCTGATAGTCAGGGTCCAGAGCTCAGGGAAGGATAGGCCTGACAGGAGGGAAATCTAATGAATGCTGTGTTAGTTTTCTAATGCTCCATGCCAACTCCCCACAAACTTAAAGGCTTAAAACAACCACCAGTTATTATCCCATAGGCTGGCTCAACTGGGTTTTCTACTAGCATCTCTTAGGACCAAGCTGCCAGCAGGGTTGAGTTCTTACCTGGGGAAGAATGCACATCCCAGGTCACTGGAGTTGGCAGAACTTCGTTTCTTTTGGCTGCATGACAGAGATCTCCATTTCTTAGCCAGCTGATTGCCAGAACCTACAATTAGTCTGTGCACTTGTTCTTTTGACCCTTCACTTTTTCTTCAAGGACTGTATGGCACATAGAACCTTTCACAGGCTTGCAATCTCTGAATTCCTCTTTGGTTACCAACCAGAGAAAACTCTAGTTTTTCAAGGGTTCTTGTGGTTTGGTTAGGAACACTCACCTCCCTCCTGTCTTGTAACAATCTAATCACAGGAGTGATTTTCACTCCATTAGCAGTCAAGAAGATGAAGGGGAGAGAAGAGTGAGTATGAGTTGAAGGGGAGAGAAGAGTGAGTATGAGTTGAAGGGGAGAGAAGAGTGAGTATGAGTAAGTAGCATAATGAAACCCATTAAAATTGTTTAGGAAAGAGGGTATAGAAGGGAGATAATTCTGCAGGGTATTGAGGGGGTGGGGGGGAGAGGGAGGGGGCAGAGTGGGTGGTAAGGGAGGGGGTGGGGGCAGGGGGGAGAAATGACCCAAGCCTTGTATGCACATATGAATAATAAAACAATTTTAAAAAAAGGGTAATAGAGAGGTGGAATGTGATCAAACTATCTTAGCATGTGTGGAAATACCACAATGAACCCCCCAACTTATACTAATAAAGAGGAAAAAAGATGAATGGGAAAGATCATGGTGCCATCTTAGAATTTTGCATACCACAACCAGGAGGAAGTGTCTGAGGGCTGACGATATCTCCTGAAGAACAGTGGAAAACACAGTTTCTAGAGATGCAAGAGTGAGAAAGGGTTGAATAGACAACTAGCAAACTTTGCTAGCTGGCTTTATGTGCTCAACTCTCAGATGAATTTAGAGGTGATGAATGTGTAGGGGCATATGTGTAGGGGAATCAATCTACATGGTGTAGTTTTCTTACCCCCACCCATTGCTGGAAATTGAACCTAGGACCTACCTCTGACATACTAGGCAAGTTCTCTACCACTGAACAATCTTTTCGACCATGTGATTCTTACCTAGCAGTCTGGGTAAAGGAGCTGAAGAATGATAATAATAAATGGAAGGCATAGTTTGACTGAGCTGGCTTTTTGTTTTCCATAAATAACAAGTCCTAGGGGTTGGGGGTTGGGATGTTCAGCATCCAAAATTCCCAGGTTCAACTCTCAGCAACAAACAGAAGAAAGAGAAAGAGAGAGAAAGGAAAAGAAAGGGAAGGGAGGAATGAAGAAAGAGAAAACAAGGCTGGGCATGGCGGCACGTAATCCTAGCTACTTGGGAGGCTGAGATTGAGGTTTGAAGCCAGCCTGGGCAAATCGTTCCCAAGACCCCCATCTCCAAATAAACCAGAACAAAATGGACTGGAGGTGTGGCTCAAATGGTAGAGCACCTACTTTGCAAGCACAAAGCCCCAAGTTCAAATTTCAGTCCCACCAAAAACAAAACAAAAATAACCAATGCTGGGCTGATGGAGTGGCTTGAATGGTAGGGTGCCTGCCTGGAAAGAACAAGACCCTGAGTTCAACCCCCAGTACCACCAAAATTAAATAAATAATCAACACAACAAGGACTGATGGAGGGGCTCAAGTAATAGAGCCCCTGCCTGCCTCATAAGGGTGAGGCTGAGTTCAACCCTAGTACTGTCAAAAAAGAAAGAAAGAAAAGGAAAGAAAAAGCAAGTCCTGGCTATTCCAGTCTGAACTGCTTATGTTCCTGAGGTAGTATTCCAAGGCCATAAACGGGAGGATTGACTGAGAATTAAAGGAGGGACTGTAAAGGGGAGGTAATGAGATTAGTGAGTTTCTGGGACAGTAAATGAGTAAAATAGCAATAATCTATACTGCATAAGGACAAACACACTGTAGATCCAGCTGCACTTTGGCCTGGCAAAGAAAAGGCCTTCTCTTGCTACAGGCACCACTTGACTTTTGTTGCTGTGAAGTCTAATCTATGAGATCAGAGGTGGGCTGTGCTCAGGTAGAAGGTAGAAGCAGGAAGTCAGTGATATAATCTGGGACTTGGGTAGCCAACACAGTCAGTCCACTACTTCACCTATGTTCTTTTCATTCTGCGGTACTGGAGCTTGAACTCAGGGCCTCACATTTGCTAGGCAGGTACTCTATCAACTTGAGCCACTCTGACAGCCTTTTTATGTTGGGTATTTTGGAGACAGGGTCTCTCAAACTACCTACCCAGGCTGGCTTCAAACAGTGATCCTCCTATCTCTGCCCCTGGACAGCTAGGATTACTATAGGCATGACCCATCAGTGCCTGGTCCCTATATTCTTAAACTATTTCTGAGTCAATTATCTGTGAAAATCTTAGGACTCTGGCAGTTAGGCCCAAGCAAGTTAAATACAAGGCAGTCAAACAAGATTTTTCACTGTTTTTATAGGAAAACACTCCCCACAAGCCAAAAATTGTCAGGTCAATATAAATGTGCACTTTATAAAGGGCAGCAAGTTCATATGTGCTGGACATAATGATGATCCCTCTCCTACTATTAAATTTAAAAAGCATATAGAGCTTTTATATAAAAAGTCCTATGTGTTTTTGATACAGGAGGTATTCTGTGACACTTCACTATAAACTAGTAAGATTAGTAGCCACTGGGGAAGGAACTAGGGTAGAAAGGAAACAGGATTCATGATTAAATATTATATTTATACTAGGCATGGTGGTACATACCAGTAATCCCAGCACTGAGGAGGCTGAGGTAGGAGGATCTTGAATTTGAGGCCAGGCTGGGCTGCATATTGAGAACCTGTTTCAAAAAATAAATATTATGTTTCTATACCCCTTTTAATTTGGGCCTCATGCCCACGTTACTCATGAATAAATAACTACATTTTAAAATAATGAACTTTTATTATCCTCATCGACAGAAAAGGCTCCAACCTGAGGTCCATGAGAAGTGAGCCACCCCACCACAGAGTGCAAAAGCTGTGGCACTGCCAGTCAGTGCCTCCTCAGAGTCCCTTCAGCCACCTCCCTGAAGGAGGCCTTTCTAAGGAATCAGACTCAAGTGACCAGCAGGGAGGAGGACACTGAAGAAGCTCCCCTGCCTGGAATCAGCCACATCCCCTGCTAGCACCTGGGAAGGAAGACACAACCCTCTGCTGTGGGCTGGCTCCAATGGAAGGTGGGGAGGATGCACAGCTGTGACGACAGATGTCCTCCTCTGGTCTGTGTCCTGTTACTTTCTGATAGCAGCTCCCTCTTTTCTTTGGCCACAGCGTTTGATTTCTGAGAACAAACTGAACTGTTGAGAACTGTTGAACAAGTCAAGTCCATGTCATTGTGAGTCTGAACTCTCACTTGACTTGGAAGATTTATGCTTCCGTTTTTTCTTCTTTTTCTTTTCTTTCTTCCTTTTCTTATGCTTTTCTTTCTTCTTCTTTTTCTTGTGTTTCTCTCTACATTCTGAAGAACTAGAGCTGCTCCCATCCTCATCTGAGGTGGAATCTTCCAGTAACCGTTTTAATTGCTGTATCCTAAACAGAGAAGACTGGTTAAAGAACTGCGATTTTAAACTTAAAACAGTGTGTTTCAATAGGCACGTGATTTAAAAACAGCATGGGGCAGGGGGAGGAAGTCACGAATAACTACCTCACCAAAGACAACACGTATTTTTCCATTGTCCTAAATATTTCTGCATGTTCCTACAGTCCTTATAATTTCTTGAAGAAATTTATGAACCATTCACTCACTGCTCAATTTCACTGTTATTTACCTCAACAACTACAGTGCAACCAATGTTTACCCTCTCTTTATGTCTAAGAATAAATTTTAACAAAAGCTCAGATCCTTAATGATACTGGAGAATAAAAAAACTAAATCATACAGGAGTTAATTGTACATTACAAGCAGACACCACACTGAGTTGCCAACACCACTTCCACTGGTGTGTGCTGGGCCCCACCCACTTGCTTTTACGCTATCATCAGTAGACGGCTGGCCTGCTCATTCCCCTGACAGTCACTGTTTAAGAAACCATTCCCCTGATTATTATACAGTGACGGTTTTCAACTCTATTTAAGACTTTAAGAGGATGTTGGTACCATCAGGACAACCTCACCTCACATCCTTCTCATGTCTTTTATTCTCTCGAATGATGTCATACATGGGATCTTCATGTGCCTTAAGAGTCGGAGAAGGTTAACATTTGGTTAGGCTTCACAGACTGCTAGTTAAATAAAAATTAAATCCCTACATTACTGAAACCAGTTTTTTATTGTTTGGTATAGCTTTATGTTTAACATGTCCTCATCTTTTTAAAAAGTCATATCACTGTAAACTTATTGGGGCTAATTCAGAAAAATTTTCTGAATTAGAAAAACAGAGGAAATAAAATATTCTTCATTAGCAAATAACTGTATTGTCCTATTATAAAACAGTACTAAAGTTGAGAACTAGAGGTAATCCTCTTTGATCTATTTGGAGAGATGAGCAAGAGATAGTATTAAGTGAAACAAGTGAGTTGTATTAGAATGATCCATTTATAAATACATAAAAATGTATTTATATGTTACATATCTCAAACAAGTATGTAAATATATTCAACTAATTCCTAGTTGGTATGCCAACTAGGCATACCATATGGAGGTATGCCTTAAGTGGTAGAATACCTGCCTTGTGGGCACAAGGCCCTCAGTTCAAATCTCAATACCAAAAAACCTGCGAATTCCTAGAGACCTACTCTGGGGAGAGAAGCAAGATTGGACTTGGTGGTATAAATTCTATTGTGAGGTGCCCAATTTCTTTAATCGGACAAATGAATTTTATTATTTAGGTAATATGTTTTATTTGCTTTGTCTGCAGGGCTCGGGAATCAAACCTAGGGCCTCAAACACAGTAGGCAAGTTCTCTACCTCTAAGTTACACCCCCAGTCCTTCATTTAGATAATCTAAATTTGCTTCAAACACTTAAACACATGTATGCAACTCTTGTCTTATACTTACATTTTTATGAACATTTCTCATAACATTAAAACAATTCCTAATTTCTAATTTGTTTACTGCCGTAATTTTGTGGATATGTTTAACTTTAAAGTTGTTTTCTGTTTTAGTTTAGTTTTTATTTTATTTACTTAATCATATCTATAATTATTGACATTATACTTGTAACAGTTGTGTACACAACAAAAGAGAAGTAGGAAAAAGCAAACAAAAAGAGCTGTGTATACATAGGTGTTCTGTTATAGCCGTGTGATAAATTCTCAGAAGTTGGGTCACTGAGTTAAAAAAAAATATGAGTATGTTTAAGGTTTCTGAGATTTAGCATTAAAAACTATGTCTTATGGTATCTGTAGAAACTGACATCTCAGGACTGGAGATGTGGCTCAAATTACCGGTAGAGTGCCTGCTTTGCAAGTGCAGACCCTTGAGTTCAAATCCCAGTCCTACTAAAAAAAGGAAAAGAAAGAGGGGATAACAGAAATTGACATTTCACTTTCATTCTTCTTGGTCCAAAATAATTTTTCTCAGATAAAAATGAAAATGCAAAACTTGAAATGTCTTACAACATCCAAAGGATGTCTACTGACCCATTTTGATCTGTATTCAACCCCAGTACATTCAATCACAGCACACCCCACTTGGCAGGAGCAGTAACTGAACAGTGGATTAGCACCTCTGCAAAGGGATTCCGTTAAAATAAAATGAGGAAATATTAAAATATTAAGCCATGTAAACTGCTGATAAAAACCCTGGTTTTAGTTATGAAACATGACTTTTTATATAATTTTTTAAATGGGGGTATTGAATAGATAACAATGACTGCTTCAGAAAAGTGTCACTGTTCCAAAGGTATAAGCAAAATCTTTTTTTTTTTTTTTTTGAGATAGGGTCTTGCTATATGGACCAGGATGGCCTCAAACATGCAATCCTCCTGTTTTGACTTCCCAAGTGCTGTTATTCCAGGCATTTACCACCATGCCCGGGTAGCAAGTAACATTTTGGGTTTTCTGCAGTGCTGGGAATCAAACCCAGTGTATGCTAGGCAAGTGTCCAACTACTGAGCTATATCCCTATCCCTTCAATGTTTTTTATTAGTAGCTTTTTGTTAAAGAACTATTCTGGGCTGGGCTCAGTGACTCACACCTGGAATCCCAGCTACTCAGGAGGCAGAGATTGGGAGGATCACAGTTTAAAGCCAGTCTGGGCAAAAAGTTAGCAAGACCTCTATCTCAACTAATAAAATGCTGGGTGTAGCAGCAAGTGCTTGTCATCCCAGCTTTGTGGGCAGTATAAGCAGGAAGATCTGATAATGAAAGCAAAAAAAGCTGGAGCCATGACTCAAGTGGTGGAGCACTTGCCTAGCACGTGCAAGGTTGAATCCCCACCACAGAAAAACTAATCTGTCACATAAATGCGTAACAGAGGTGTAGTTAACATCTGATACTGGGACCAAAAGACTTCTGGGGAATTTGTTTATAGAACATTCATTTCACTGGTGATTCCCGGACTCACTGATATGTACCACCTCTGATACATGTAATTTGACACTGCAGATTTTACTTACTACTCTGAACTGTTCTAACTTTTGGTTGCCTTTGATAAAGAAAGGGCATTCTTTGTCTCCTGTTCGGTGACCATACCGTTTGCAACGCCAACCTAAAAACAAAGAAAAAAGGAAATATTTCTGTAAGATAACATGGCTCACCTTGATGAGAAGGTTTCAAGAGATTAAAGTTTTTCTTCATTACAGTTCAATTCTAAAAGGAACCAGTGTGTAAACCATGAATGTGAGAGCAGAGAAGATAGAGGTGATCTAATTGCTTTCAAGTACCTTTGCATCTTGTAGTTTTAGGAATAAATATTCCATCATCAAGCACTGATGAATTAATCCATTGCAAAAGTACTGCAAAAGGTAGATTTGTTTTTATGTCTCACTACTTTTGAGAGTAAATCTTTTCCATTCATCATGTGGCTATAATTCTCATTTATAAACTTAGGCACAAGAACAAGTAACTTCTTTCTCAGGTTGAATCAACTACTGTACAAATCCCTCACAAAATCACAAGTTCTCTTAACATGTAAATGCCATCTGTGATGGCATTTACCCTAGTATAACTTTACCCACAGAACAGGGACATTGCCCTGCTTAAAGATGTTTATTAGAAGTAGCAGAAGGACCTGATGATGAGACATAACAAAGAAATATATGTACGAGTCAACAAAAGGGATACAATTTCAAAGAATTTCAATGATTATGGACTTGATATCACGTGTTGAGAACTGAGGAAAAGGAAATGGTTACTGAAGAAGGAATGGATGTAATTTCTCTCATCTCTTTTCATCCTCTCAGACCCATCTGGATTAGAAACAAATCAGATTATATGGGGATGGTGAGTTAAGTGAGAGTCTGCAATTGGGTACTGACTAGGGAGGTCAGGAAGAGATTACAGGTAAGATTAGCCAAGTGGTCTGTGCTAGCAACTATAGAAAGCATGTCATGAAAGGCATGGAGGGTTGGATGCAGGAAAGGCAATGAAAATGATGTTTGGAAACTCCTTATGGATGGTTTATGAGCTGTCTTTGTCCTTAACTCCTCTGCACTTTAACGTCTGGGAAAGAAGGACAGCATTCCTTTACATGAATGTCTGGGCACACAGCAGAAGTGAGGCTGTGAGGCTGGCCACCACATCCTTAGCTGAGCTATTTAGGAGGCTGAGACCTGGTAGACTGCAGTTGGAGGCCAGCCCAGGCAAATAGTCAAGCGACCCCATCGTGAGGCCAGCACCAGTAGTTCATGCCTGCAATCCTAGCTACTCAGGAGGAAGAGATCAAGAGGATCACGGTTTGAAGCCAGCCTGGGCAAACAGTTCATGAGATCTTATCTCGAAAATACCCAACACAAAAAAGGGCTGGTGAAGTGGTTCAAGGTGCAGGACCTGAGTTCAAACCCCAGTGCCACCAAAAAAAAAAAGAGAGACTCCTATCTCCAAAATAACCAGACCAAAATAGACTGGAAGTGTGGCTCAAGTGGTAGAGAAAAGTCGGAAGTTCAAACCCAGTCCCATCAAAAAAAAAAAAAAAAAAGTGAAGGATGTGAAATACTATAGGACGTGGGATACCATCTCTGCCGAAAATTCTCTTAGGACTAAAGGAAAGGGGATTCTTGCAATCCAAGTGTGGTCCACAGCAAAACTGCAACACAAAAGAGGCTGCTAGTAATGTAGACTATCAGGCCTCCCTCAGAAACACTGACAAATAAGGTGAATTTAAAATATTCACTGGGGGCTCAAGATATAGCTCCAGGTATCCCAAAGGGGCTTTCACAAGTCCTGACCAATCCTAGGCATTCAGAAGGCTGTGTGCAAACACAGTAAAGGCTTGAGAAAGCCAAATTCCCTCACTTCTGGCTGACCCTGAGGCCTAGGAAAGCAGGCAGTAAAGCAGAAAACAGTTGTGAACTAAATGAGCTCTGATGACGGACTCCAACATATGTAATTTCATGGACTGTGGAACTGAAGGAAACCATTGATAAATTATTAGCTGACTACTAAGCTAACTTAGAATTAGCAGCCATTTCAGTAGCCATACTATACAGGGAAAACAGACCTACAAAAGTACTCCAGGCAAGTTACTAAAAAGGCAGCTGGGTGCCAATGGCTCATGAATGTAATCCTAGCTACTCAGGAGGCAGAGATCAGGAGGATCACAGCTCAAAGCCAGCCTAGGCAAATAGTTCGTGAGACCTTATTTTGAAAAATACCCAACACACACACACACAAGAATGGTGGAGTGGCTCAAGTAGTAAAGCATCTGCCTAGCAAGCCTAAGCCCCTGAATTCAAACTCCAGTACCATCAAAAAAAAAAAAAAAAAAACAAGTAACATCATCAACACCTTTAGATAGGAAGAAGGCATCTGATTTCCAGAGTTACCACATTACATTATCCAAAACATCTACTTTTCAACAAAACTTTTCCAGATGCTGGACATAACAGGACAGACTTTATAGCAGCTGCTATACATTCAAAGAAATGAAAGAAAGCATGCCTAAATAAATGAAAGCATAGAAATGCTGTGTCATGAAATAGCCATTATCCATAGAAAAATAAATTGGGGCTGGAGGCATGGCTCAAGTGGTATAGTGCTTGCCTAGCAAGTGCAAGAGCTTGAGTTCAAGAAAAAATAGGAAAAAATAAATTCAGGATGTGAAAAGTACATCAGGCGATCTGAGATGGTAAAAGACAGAATCCATAAACATCAACTCTGAAAAACAGAAAAAAGAACAAAGAAAAGTGCTTAAGAGTCCCACACACCAGGGGGATACCATCAAATTTAACAGCATACACATAATGAGAATATTAAGGGCTGGGGATGTAGCTTAGTGGTAGGGTGCTTGCCTAGCATGCCTAAGGCCCTGGGTTTGATTCCCACACTGCCCCTTTCCCCCCAAAAAAGAGAATACCAGAAAGAAAGAAGTGAGAGAAAGGGTAGAAAGAATATCTGAAAAAATAACCCAAAACTTCTCATTTTGGTGAAAAATACAAAGCAAAGAAGCTCAACAAACTCAAAAGTAGGATAAATTCAAAGAGATTCACACATATACATTATAGACAAACGGTTAAAGGCCAAGCATCAAAAGAGAATGCACATGTGGAGAGAAAGAAGTTTATTGCTGGTTAAGAGTCCACAAGAAAATCAACAGCAGACTTCTCATTAGAAACTGGAGGCAAGCTATTACAAAGGCAAGCTGAGCCTAGTGGCTCACACCAGTAATCTCCAGCACTAAGTAGATCTTAAGTTCAAAGCCAGACCAGGCTACATAGTGAGATGCTGTCTCAAAACAACAACAAGCACACAAAATACACAGAGATACAGACAAAAAGGGAAATATATATTGCTAAAAGTGTCAATCCATCAATAAGATAAAACATTTAGAAACATACATGTACCTAGGAACAGAGTACCAAAGAGATGAAACAAAAACTGAACTGAAGGGAAAATCAGAACAATGCAAGGTACTCCACATTCAGGCATGGATGTAATAACCAAATCAGCAATGAACCCCAAGACTTGAACAATGTAAACCAGCTGAACCAAACACACCTAAAGAATACTTCTCCTCCCAAAGACAGAATAAACATGGGAAATCAAATATTTGGATGTGAATGAAAATTAAAGCACAATATAACAAAATGTATTACAACGCAGATAAAATGTGCTTATAAGAAAGTTTATAATTTTAAATGTTTATATTAGTTCTCAAATCAATAACCTAGGCTTTCACTTTTAAAAATCTAGAAAAAGAGTAACCCAAACCAAAGATGAAATAATAATGAACTACTGGCATTTCCTATGCTGTGAATTAACCTCAGAAACACTATGTTAAATGAAGAGTCAAAAATGAGAGCCCACAAACAATTTATATATGTCCAGAAAAGCCAAGTTTATAAAGACAGTGGATGAATGGCTGCCAGAGGCTACAAATGTGGATTAACTGTAAATGGATATGAGGGATTTTAATGGGGGATAAAAATGTTCTAACACTTATTTAGGGTGATAACTGCACTTAATTGTTACTAAAAAATGATTGAATTGCATACTTGAAATCAGTGAATTTCATCATTTACAAAACAAACCACAATAAAACTTTGGAAGAAACTATAAACTCAAATTCTGACAGTGAATTTGCAAGAGTCAAATGCAAAAAAATTGAACATAGAACTGGAAGCATGGCTTAAGTAGTAGAATGCTTGCCCAGCAAGTATGAGGCACTGAATTCAAAACCCTAGTACCACTAATGCAGGTAGATGATTTCTAGGTGAATTCTAGACCCCTGCAAAACAGAACTAAGGCAGCAGAGGAGATGCTATAGCTTATGTTGAGGGCTGGTGGTATGGCTCAAGTGGCAGAGCACCTGGCTGGCAAGCATAAGGCCCTGAGTTCAAACCCAGTATTGCCAAAAAGACACCCCAAAAAATGAGTTTCAATGTTGAATGTCCCCCAAAGGTTCATGTGTTGCAGGTTTGGTCCCAAGAATAGCACTACTGGGAGGTGCTACAGACCTTTAAGAGGTGGGGCCTTATCGACTACCCTTAGGTCACTGGGGGCACGCCCTTAAAGTGATTATGAGCCCCCAGCCCATCCACATTCTCTTTTTTTGTCTGCTGGCTCATGGTGTGAGCAGTGTACCACACATGCCCCACTGTTGCCATCTAGCACCCCACCAGAGGTCTAAAGTATGGGTCTACCCATACTTTATTTTGAGCCAAAATAAGCCCTTTTAAGTTGCCTCAGGTACTCTGTACAGTGACAGAACTCTGACTAATATGGGGGAGAACTAAAAATATACTTAATTTCTATTTGTAGAAGCTCCAAAAGTTCAGGAATTGGCAGCACCAGATACCTCTGGAAATAAAGGTGACGGGGTAGTTAAAATAAGGAGGACGTTGTAAGAGTCCATAGACAACTTTCTTCTGAAGGCTGTAATATCTACAAAAGGTTAAAGCCTAGGGTTTCTGGCCATAAATACAGAGGAGTATATGACCAAATAAAAAGGAGAGGGAGGGATTTCCCAGTCTTCTTGCTCTACTTAGCTCCTGAACACCAGCAATGTGGCTTCCACCTTCCCCAGAAGAACCTTCTTCTCTGGGAATATATAACCCACTCAAAGAGAAAAACCTACAGCTATTGACTTCAGATGTTCTCCCAACTGACCGCCTACAAAAAGATCATCTATAATGAGACCCAACAAGTCTGACTCACACACGGAGGGATTCTGATCAACTTCTTGCCTCATAGGCAAGAATAGGAATGATAGCCAGTCTCCAATTGGTCCCAATAATACCTGACTCCTAGAAAGCATATCCTTTGATGTATTTTGGATCCAGAATGTCTCCTAAAAGCTTATGTATTATAGGTTTGACCTCAGCATGGTGCTCCAGGAAGGTGGCAAGGCCTAGTAAAAGGTCTTTAGGTTATTAATGGCATGCCTTTGAAGGGAACTCTGGGATGCCTATCTTTCTCATTTCCCAGTGCCATGAGGTGAACAGCATTTCTATTCTAGAAAGAAGAGTAACAGGTATAAGGGACAAAAACAGGAGATAAAAGTAAGAAAATAAAATTAAGGAAATCAGTACAGGGGCTGAGGGGATAGCTCCAGTGGTAAAGTGCTTGCTTAGCACGTGTGAGGCCCTGGGTTCAATCCCCAGCACTACAAAGTAACAAGCAAATAAAAATGGAGACACACATTTCCAGATTAAAAAGATCTGCTAATTATTGAATACAATGATTGAACACAGATGCATACCAAGCATGTCATTGTGAAACTTCAGAACAGTGGGAATAAGGAAAAGACACTATTAAAGCTTACAGAGAAAAAAAGTTAAAAACAAAACAACACAAAATCCATATCCTGGCGTATAAAAATTCTATAAAACAAAGTTATTTTTAGAAAAGTAAGGCCTTAAAATTTCTACCCCTTAAGCTGGGTGTGTTGGTGCATGCCTATAAACCGTGTATTTGGGAGGTTGAACTGCAAGTTTAAATCCAGCCTGGTCTACAAAGTGAGACACTGCCTCAAAAAAATAAAATAAGATTCTATCACCTAAGGCCCATTTTGAACGAAACTGTCAGAAGAATCACTCAACCATGAGAAGAGAACATAAAACAAAGAAGAACCAGAATATAGGAAAACACAAGACCTAACATAGGAGAGAGGCTAAGGAAAACTATAGAATGATGGTGTCTTAGCTCAGGCTGCTATTAACAAAATGCCACAGACTGTATAGTGTGGTTTAAAAACAGAAATCAATTTTCTCAGTTCCAGAGGCTGAATTTCTGAGATCAAGATGACAGCAAGGTTGGTTTCTGTTGAGGGCTTTCTTCTTGGCTTTCTGATGACTGCCTCTTTGTCTTCACATGGCAAACAGAAAGAGAGAAAGGGAGGAGGGGGAAGAGACTCTATGACTCTTTTAAAGACTACTAGTCACATCATGGGGGTATATGACCTCATCTAACCCTAATTAGCTCTAAAAAGCCCCATTATCTCAAAGTATCATTTTATAATAGAGATTAGGGCTTCAGCACATAAATTTTGGAAAGACACAAATACTTACTCTGTAAGAAGTAGCAAAAGCAGACACCTGGAAGGTAAGCATGGGAGCAGCCATCTCTAGAAAGATGAAACTGCCAGAACGCCTCAAGTTTCTCAATTGAAGTCTTAGGATTCAAGGTTGGAAGAATTTGGGGTTGAATTAGAAAACAGTACTGGAAAACAAAAATAAAACAAAACTGAAAAACAGTAACAAAAAAGAAGATAAACATTAATTTTGGAAGGAGGAAACTATGTAGGATGCGAGAAAGGAAAAGGAATAACTTTATGCACCTCTGAATATAATAAATACCAAAGACTTATCTACTGAAAATTATGACATAATTATTACTGGAAAATGAGACATAATGAGATTACATGTGTGTTCTAAGAGTAAGAGTGAAAGCTACATTCTCATCTTCCATTGCATGATGTCAAAAAGTAATGTCTAAATCTAAAAAAAAAAAATCAAGGAACAATTCAAGCATAATCTTTTTTTTCTTTTTTAAATTGCATAAATACATACAATGTACTTTAAAAAATAAATAAATAAAAAAAATAAATTACTTAAGAGTGCTTTTTTTTTTTCTTTTTTTTTTTACAGTACTGGGGTTTGAACTCAGGGCCTACACCTTGAGCCACTTCGCCATTCCTTTTCTGTGCTGGGTTTTTTCAAGACAGAGTCTTGTGAACTATTTCCCCAGGCTGGCTGCTTCAAATTGTGATCCTCCTGATCTCTGCCTCCTGAGTAGTAGGTGCCCAGCAAGTGCTGCTTTTTTAACTTTTTGTTTGTTTGGTTGGGTTTTTTTTGATGATACTGGGGCCTCTTGATTGCTAGGCATGTGCTCCACAACTTGAGCCATGACCCCAGCCCTTTTTTGCTCTAGTTATTTTCAGATAAGATCTTTTGTATTTGCCCAGAGCCAGTTTTGAACCATGATCCTCCTACCTATGCCTACTGCACAGTTGGCATTACAGACATAAGCCACCATGCCTGGCTTGTTGGCTGAGATGCAGTTTCACTAACTTTTTTGCTTGGGCTAGCCTCAAATGGCAATCCTCCTCCTGATTCCCACTTCCCAAGTAGCTGGGATTTCAGACATACACCATCCACACCCAGCTCTTTTTTAAACTTAGCTTTTTGTTTGGTTGATTTTTTTGGTGTGTGTTTGTGGGGGGTGGGCGTTGAACTCAAGGCCTCATGTCTGCTATACAGGTGCTCTGCCACTTAAGCCACCTCCCAGCCATAAATTTAGCTTTCTGGCTCAACACTTTCACAATGAATTTTTCTTCCTCAATAAGGCAAGCATGCTTTATGCTGTCACAGACATATTTTGTACACATGGAACCACCACATACCCTGATGACTTATTTTTTCATTTCAGACAATTTCATAAGAACTTTAGGTCTCAGAGCGTGAACCCCTCAAAGTCGGCCTAGGTACATGCCACATGCAGATCTTGGTGCTTTTCTGACACTGTTAGTATAAAGGAAAGCAATCCTATTTCCAGGAACTTGGGACTGCCTACTTCTGTTAGGAGTGTCTGTAGGAAGGCCTATGACAGTATACCAAATGCAGGACCATTCTGAGTTCCTCAAGACACTGTCGCCAGAAGAGAGCTACAAGCGTGACCTTAAGATGTGACAATAAATGTTAAAACCAATTCAAAAGGCTTACTCTTTTGAGAAGTGTATAAATGCTCTTAAAGGTAGATGAGGGACATGCATGGAGAGATCTGCCTGTGCAGAACTCTGGCCTGCAGCCTGTCCTCGCTCCTCTGGTGTTTCTCGGAGATGTCACTTGGCACCTCTGATAGAGAGTGACCCAGAACAGCAAGTCTCAAGAAGACCTCCTCTCCAGTGCCTCCCTCACTCCCACAGAACATCTATTATGGAATGGGATGTCCCTTTTGTTATGGGAGTATCACTGAAGAGCCTACTCCCAAGGCAGTCATAGTCCTGAGGAAAGACTGGTGGAATTGGAGTTAGAAGCCCCTTCCACTGGACCACTTACTAACATAAGCAAGTCTGCTTTCTTCTCTAGAAATGGAGAATATGCCATGATTCTAAGAGGAATGGGCTGAGAACAAATTACAGAAATGAGCACACTTGCGCATTTTTGTATGCAAATTCCTTATAACAGGGGTGTTACTGAAATTCTTCCACACTCACATTGCATAACTTTGACTTCTTTCCCCAGTGGCATCCATAGTCCTTTAGTTGGTGCATGAGCCAGAAATTCCCTGGCATGCTCATTGCCTGGTACATCTGGTATACAGTCTTCTGGCTTAGTCTCATCTTCCTACACAAAGGAAACAGAGTATGAATCACATAGCAAAAATCACTGGACTTCTCTCCTTCCTGCTGAGGAACCCACATAGCCTGGGTTTCTCCTGCACTGTGGACACAAGGCCACCTTCAGCCACCCCCACAAACTGGAGAGAAAGAAATTACATTAGTGAGCAAGAAGAGAAGGATGCCTGAAAACCAATGCAGCTGCAACCGCAGGAAAGGCACTGGTTAAACACAAGTCTGTCTTCACACAGGCATGGTCTGTGAGTGCCACATTCTGACTATTACACTCTACGACCAAAAAAAGGTTTCACTATCTTAAGGACATGGTCATGGTCAATCACAGAGGTGCTGTGTCTCTGAAAGGCATTTCACCACTGACTCACTGTATTTACAATTAAAGTGTTTCTTCACTTTCTTATTACTTAAAAGCTTTTACGAATATTACGTTTATACCAGAAGAGTGAGTTTTAAGTCTTTTTAAATTGAAAGTTACCAAACAGCAAGTCTTTTGCCCTTTGCCTGCTGCTCTCAGGCAGTGACACTCTGAGACTGGGTGGCTAGAAAGCTGGGCAGCGGACCCAGTTCAGGAGGTCTGAGGGGAGGAGCTCTAGGTCTCCTTCAAGGATGCTCTGAGTTGAGGACACTCAAGACCCGAGTCCGGGGTACCGAGGAGCTGGCTGGGTGACGCAGACAAGGCAAACAGGGCGGCAGACCTTTGAGAACATGCGGCCAGTGAGGGAACCACAGCTGAGGAACCCACATGTGCCTGCCCTGGTTCCTTGGGGAAAGGAAACATGACTAATTCAGATTTCTCAAAGCCACAGGCTTGTAACAAAGCCCATCTGACATCTGCAGGGAAGAATCATTGCTTTCATAAAAAGATGTTTGAAACCTATGCAACCATTTTTCTAACAAGTTACTGAGTCTCCAAGTATGTCCAGTGAAATAATCATAAGTATGAACCTCACACTTACCTTGATTAGCCCAGGAGGAGGTTTTTCATAACTAGAAAATAAAAAACAAAAAGTAAAACCTTGGCAAGCATGTTAATAGAAACATAGCACACTTTTTAATGAACCAGAGGAAGCTGCCAAGTCATTCTAATAAGGAGGACATTCTTAGTAAAACTTAACTACTACATTGTATCTGTACCAGTTTATAAAATATGCACTATACTCAGTATCTGAAGTAAATAAACAGATGCTATACCACATTCTGCAGAGATGTAGAACTCAAATTCACTAAAATACTAACTTACTGTCCCCACAGAAGGATTTTATTTAAGAAGGGAAGGCAAGAGATTGTAGGGAAAATGTGAGATTAAGAAGACCAAGGGCCAATCTAGTTCTAGAACATCACAGTGGTTTTTCAGGTTGTTCACCAACCACAGTGTCCATGTACTCAACAATGAACAGGCTGGGGGCGGGGATGGGAGCCTTATGTTCCAAAGCAGCTGGGGAGCAAAGGGGAAGGCAGAACTCCAGGAAGGCCTCTGTTCACAGACCCCCTCTCCCATGGTCTCCACTCACCCTGCCATGGAGCCAGCAAAGCATGCTCCTCAGCTCTGACTCTCCTCCCTCCACACCTGTCCTGACTATACAACCTTAGCACATAGGACCCCTGCTTGGTGTCCAGTCCAGGGGAGTCAGTATCAATTGCGCTAGTTTCAGTACACAAAAAGACTGTGGGAATCTTCTTTCCGTTTTACTAACAATCTCTCAAACTCCCAGAGTCTTGAAGATACAAACTGGGCCTGTGCTGCTGGTTCATTTCCACCTCCTCCCACTCTGCTGAAATAGCCAGAAAAAGGTACTGAATTCCAAGTTTGGAAAATCAGGACCAGATGCTCATGTTCATTTTTAAGTATCAACATATAAACACATGCTATCACACACAATGTGGGTATTTGGCTTTTAGTCATGAATGCCTAAAGGACAAAAAGAAAGTGAAGGAAGGATGCACACTGAACTGCTATACAGATGGTAGGAGCAGGGATGAGTATTTTCTGTAACAGAAATATTATCATCAGAAAAACATTAATAAATGTTAAAAGAGTAAACATGGCACTACATAATCTCAGCTATTCAGGAGGTGGAGGTAGGAGGACTGAGGTCTGAGGCTAGCCAGCCTGAACAAAATACTACCTGAAAAATAACTAAAGCAAAAAGGGCTGGGGGCATGACTCAAGTGGTAGAGCACTTGCCTAGTAAGCCCAAGTTCCTGAGGTCAAGCCCCGTGCCACCAAAGGAAAACCAAACAAGTTAGACATTGATATGGGACAAGTAGTAACAGTTTAGTCTAGGGTTGGGCATGGTGGCACACGTGTAATCCCAGCACCCGGGAGGCTGAGGCAGGTGGATTGCAAGTTCAAAGCCAGCCTGAGCCACATAGTAAGACATTCTCAAAACAACCATGATTATGATGATGATGATAACTCATGTCTAAAAAAGGGAGAAAAACAGTGTATCTGTCATGTTTCTATTTGTGTATACAGGAAATGAGATGCTCTTTATGTTTATGAACACACACATCTTTATAGACACAGAATTTCTGGAAGGAAACCTAAGAAACAGGTTACAAAACTACCCTGGTGGAGCACTGAGGGTCACTGACAGGGAGGCCTTTATCTTTCATTCTATTCACATGTACCTGTCCCATGAGCTTCTCACAGACATCAGCTACCGGGCCTGCAAACTTTCTGAGCCATGTTGTTTAGAGAACTACATTTCTCATCTGGCTTCAGGGAACTTAAAACTACCTTGTTAAAGCCAGCATTTTGGTGCACACTTGTAATCTCAGCACTCAGGAGGCAGAGGCAGGAAGATCACAAGTTTGAGGCCAGCCTGGGCTACACAGCAAGACCCTGTGTTATAAAACAAAAAACCTAGTTAGAGCCTCAGGACAAGTGGAGAGCAGAGCATGGACTTTGACCCTCAGTTTCCTAGTTGTGAGTCCAAGCTACAACCTAAGGTAGAACTGGGACAATTAGCATGACATCTAGAATTCTGTTAAAATGAATTTGGCCTAATCTACCTCTGTACCTAGTAAATCCATATCCCAACTTAGTATGTAAGCAAACTACAGCCTAACTTGGAAGTGTATTCTTATAACAAGCTGCAGTCTCAGCCAATCAAAGCATCTCAGCCTTCAGCCAATGACAGGCTGCAATCTGCCAAAATACGTCCATTTAAGGCAAAGGCAAACTTGTAACCAATCAAACAGTTTCCTCTTTACCTCACTTTGTTCTGTCTATAAATACTGCCTGCCCACATTAGTGGGTAGAGATCGCTCAACCTTTACTGTTTCAGTGCAATTTAGGAGTTGTTTCTTCGCTCAAATAAAGTCTTCCAAGTTTAATTTTTCTCCAGAAAAATTTAACAGGTTTATGTATAATTGCTATAAACTTGAACTGCTGAAAACGTGTTCACTGAAGCATCTGACGTGCATTGATAATTTACATCCCCTCATTTATATTAAAAATTCACACAAAAACTGCCAATACCTGATTTCTGTCCCCTATTTTTCCACTTGGAATCATATACTAGGTATCTTTTGATCCCATGGGAAAAAAAATCCAAGAATATCTAAAAATTTGTCTAAAGTTTTTAACAGTTCTTTCACTGAGTTGCAACCACCATTCTAGGTCAGCAATCATTCTCTGTATTAACAGTAGAATGAAGTAACTTGTGCAAAGGTACAGGGCCAGAGTAAAGCAGCTGGGGTGGTGCCAGGCTGTTGTCCAGTTACCCACATGCCAGCGTCCAAAGCCAACAGGTACCTTGCAGGACTGTTATTTGATGTATAGCTGGAATCCAGGAATAATCATTCTAGTACCTTGTTTGACAACAGGAATAGTTTACAGAGCTTGAGTATAGTATAATTTGGTTTGGCCAAAGGTATACTGAATAAGGTTTCCCTAACTTTGCTTTACCCCAAACATTACTCATTTTATCAGTTTTTTAAAATGAGATGTAGGAACTGGAGAATATCATCTTAAGTGAAGTTAGTTAGGCTCAGAAGGCCAAAAGAAACATGAATCCCTCATATGTGGATTATAGACCTAAAACAAATTCAGCAATATTATGGGACATGGGTCACACTAGGGGAAGGCCGTGCACTGGAGGGATAGGACAAGGAAAGGAACCAAAATCTCGAATATGGTTGATATGCTCATGGTATAGAACAAATACAGAAATCTTAAACTGGCCAAGGCCATCATGGGAAGGGGACTAGAGAGGAGTGAAGAGAACTGGTAGAGATAACCAATCGGGGTTGTACTACATATATGCATAGGAACAACACAATGAAACTGCTGTGTAGCTATCTTTATCTCAAACTAGCAAAAACGCCAAGTTTCCTTTTTTTTAATCTTCTATGTTTTTTTCTTCTACAAAATCTGAGTACAGGTTCTAGGGGGGAGGGTGGTAATGGTGGGAAGGAAGAGGTGGCAAGGAAAGGGGTAGGATGATGAATATGGTGCAAATAATGTATACACATGTATGTAAATGCAAAAATACCTGCTGAAACTGTTCCAGGAATCAGGGGAGGGGGGATGAAAGACAGCAGTGGAGGGGGTGAATTCAAGTATTATATCTGATACACTATAAGAACTTCTGTAAATGCTACAACATACCTCCACACAGCACAATAAAATAATTTAAATTAAATAAAATAAAAAAATTAAAATGAGATGTAGGGCTGATGGAGTGGCTCAAGTGGTAGAACGCCTGCCTAGCAAATGTGAGGCCAAGTTCAAACCCCAGTACCACAAAAATAAGTAAGTAAAATAAAATAAAAATGACATGTAATTCTCCTCCTTCCTAGATTTGACATCAGCTCACCCAAAGGAAAACACTATGAAGTTGGGAGGAGTCAGCAAGGATGATGATGGCTTCCTGCTATCTCCAAAGCAACAACTGGTACAAATATTAAAGGCATACACACATGTTTGTTGATGTTGTATCATCCATGTGGTAAGTAGATAATTAATTCTAGGGAGACTATGTGGGAAAATGTCCATCTAGGGGCATCTAGCCACACTCCAACATTATAGGGTTTATTTTTATTTTGTTTGTTTATTTTGTGGTACTGGGGTTTGGTTGGGTTTTTTTTTTTTTTTTTCTTTCTTTCTTTTTTTAAGTCACAGGTTTCAGCAATGAAAGGTTTTCTTCATGTGATTTGCAAATACTGGGACTTTGGGCATACCACCCAAAACTATGACTGCAAGAGCCCTGAGTAAATATCATTGGCATATTGACTATTTCAAGCTGGTAATGTTGATATACTGCAGACACAAGAATAGTTCTGAAAAGAAATTTACATCTGTGAAGGAAATTTCCACTGGTAATAAATACCATTTGAAAAGAGCTGCTCCTAGATAATCTTTATTATCTGAGAGGCTTTTATATACATAGTAAGGCAGCTCTTCCTCACTATATATTTTCTCCCGTTGTCCCCTCCTACAATTTGCCTCCACCACTCCTGTGTCCTCAAGCTCCTAAGTCCTTCTGTATCTTGGGATGCAATACAAGGTCCAATCATCTGGGCCTTCTTTGAGTCTCGGATTTTTGAGGGTGGAGGGAAGCCAATTCTCCTTACCCTACAGAGAAATAATCTGGGAAAAGCAGAGAGCTGCTGCCCACCCAGCTGCACCCAGCCATCAGACACTGACCAGGAGGACTGAACCCAACACTCAGAAGGCTAGGCCCACAAGTTTTCAGATAGGAAGCAATCAGAATGGATGGCCATTCTACTGGCCAATGCCTGTGCTCTCAAAGAGCGACGATCTGTCTCTTAGAATTTGCTTATGTGCTTTCACACATAAACATTTCTAGCTCAGATCTGTGCCTTATTCCCTAACCTCCAAGAAAGCACCCTTTTCAATAGTTCAGAATAGGTACATGTATAGAAGAACAATGATTTAATGTTTTCTTCATCATGACCCATAGTTTAGTCCATTTGTGTTGCTATAACAGAGAACTGCAGGCTAGATCATTTATAAGGAA